CAGGAATGTAGACTGAGCACATAGATCCCCTTCTTGATATACTAACCGACCATTAGCACTCAGTTGACCTCCTCCTTTAACCACTCCATTTTCAGGTTATAAAAGAAAGCCTGATGGTCACTGCCTGAAGAAAATTCTTACCTGCCTTTATGACCCCAAAAGAATTCAAGCCTGGTGACCTTGCTCAGCCAGAGGATTGCTATTGCTTGGGTTTATAACGGAACACCTCAGAGACTTGAGAGGACTTAGAGGTAGGAGAGGAAGATGGGGTGAAGAACTTGAGGACGAGATGGAAGATGGGGAAGAGCCAGATGGGGAAGTACCAGCTGGGTAAGAATGAGATGAAAAGGACCTAGATGAGGCAGAATCAAGATGAGAGAATTAAGATAGAACTTAGAGGGGACAACAGATAAATACAGAGAGAAATCAGGCAAGAAAGGAGCTGGGCACGAGAACAGAACTGAGGCTGTGTAGACAGGATTTTTATCCCCGAGGAATAAAGTAGATGGACAAAGAGCTTGGTGCACTTAGATTCATTTCCCGAAAATAGTTCTCACTGTTCATAGTTTCTCTTCTGAGCCCCTGGGAAGTATATTATTAGGGCTGGCCATTTAATAATATACAAGAAGGAGGCAGATGTAGAAGGATTACCACAAGTTCAAAGCCAACAGGGTTTATACAGTGAGTTACAGGTTAGCCGGAGATACACAGGGAGACCCTGTCTGAGAACAGGACATCGGGCGTTTAGTCCCATTTTACTGACAAAAACAACTGCCGCTTGAAGAGATGAAGTCACAGTTTCATAGGTCACATGTGGCACAGGGACTCAGGAGCTGGACAGCACACAGCTTGCTATCTCCACGCACTCTGAAGGGTTCCTGTAGTGACACTGTTCATGAGACGAGAAAGCTGTGAATTATTACGAGGCCCAAGCGACGGTGGTGGTGAGCAGCGTATGGCTGTGCTGGGTACGCGTTAGTCACCATCATACTCTGGCTCCTGACCACAGCTGTCATCCCTGCTCGCGACACTTCCTTTTATCACCCGTGAAGTGGGAACAAGAATGGCTCTCCTGGGATGATGGTTGATCTTTTGTGAATTTGATGACAATTAGAATCACCATGGAAACAAGTCCCTGGACATGCCTGGGAGAGGTTATCTAGACTAGGTTCATCGAGAGCGAAGACTCTCCCTGAATATGGGCAGCACCAGCCCTTGGAGCGGAGTCCTGGGCTGAATGAAAAGGAGTGAGTGGAGCACCAGCCTCCTCTGCCTCTGCTTCCTCCTGCAGCCCGTCCTTCTCTGTGAAGGACTGCACCCGCACCCTGTGAATCAGAAGAAACTCTCCCCCAAATAAGTCACGTTTGTTGTGCATGTTGTCAAAAGTAACCGCTACATTCCTTAAAGAGAGTGGGGATGATCTCGGGTGACAGTGGAGATGAGATCCCCCAACACACACACACACACACACACACACACACACACACACACACACACACACACACACGGGATGCCCCACCTCCCACCTCCCTCCTGCAGCCAACCTCCCAGAGCACACAGGCTCAAGTCTTCCACTGCTCAAGTCATAGAGACAGTTTCGTCCTATGTGAAATGGGGTGTTAGGTCGGCATCTCTTAAAGTGGCCGCTGTCTTCATTTTCTATTTGTTTAAAAATAAGTGTCCTGTAGACCAGGCTGGCCTCGAATTTGCTATGTAGCCAAGGACGTCCTTAAACTTCTGACCCTCCCGTCTCCATCTCCCAAGCGCTAGGATTACAGGTGTGTACCACCATGCGGGTCTTCATTGCTGACTACTTCCTACATGCTAGGCAAGCACTCTGCTGACTGAGTGGCAGCCCCACCCCCACGGTGCTCACCTTTCTTCCTTTAAATGTATTTTTATTGGCATTTAAAGGAAGGTGTTCCGTGCTGACATTTGCATAGCACTTACCTCTTCAGATGTCACTTGCCCTCCATGCCTTGCTTGTCTCCCCTCCCCTCCCCTCCCCTCCCCTCTGCACTCCTCATGGCTCTGTGCCCTTTTCCATGGGGGAGAGAAAACATGGAATATCTGTCAGCCTCGGAAAGGTGCTTATCTTTCCTATTCTCACCCAGTCGATGGTTCTGACTCCAAAGCTTGCACTCAGGCATGAATAGGAGCTGTGTCTCTTCACACACACAAGGGACTGTGTGTCTTCACACACACACACAAGGGACTGTGTGTCTTCACACACACACACAAGGGACTGTGTGTCTTCACACACACACAAGGGACTGCGTGTCTTCACACACACACAAGGGACTATGCATCTTCACACACACACACAAGGGACTGCGTATCTTCGCGCGCGCGCGCGCGCGCGCACACACACACACACACACACACACACAAGCACAAGGGACTGCATGTCTTCACACACATACAAGGGACTATGTGTCTACACACACACACACACACACACACACACACACAAGGGACTGCATGTCTTCACACCGGGGTGTGTCTTTGTCTTTCTACAGCATTTCTTCTTTGCATCCTGGTCTTGCATCACATACTGTGACTTCCTCAGGTCAGCCTGGCTGAGGTAGGTGGCCACTTGAACACACACACACACACACACACACACACACACACACATGCACACACTCATACACATGCACACACACACTTCTGAAAACTATAGGCTGCCACACTCTGCCATGACTCAGAAGCAGCACATCACTAACGTCAGCTGACTTTGAGGCATGTCGAAACAGTTCTATGTGTTTTCTCCGAGTCTGCTCCAGAATGGGACCCTGTGTGGTCAGTGGCTGCCGAGGCCAGAATGAGCAGATGAACGACAAACATGTGGCATGCTGGTGGCCCCGGTCCTGGCAAAGAGGACTCTGTGTGTGCCTTTTCCCTGGCTGCCCACAGCGTAGGGGAGGGAAAACCCAGAAGCCTCCACTAACCGTAGGGAGCACTCTCCCACCTGGAAGGAGGGAAGAAGCGCTCACACCAGGTGCAGAGAGTTCACATTCACTGGGCAACTCACACCAGGAGTGTGGATCACACCAGGTACGGGGCACTCTCACCAGGCAGGGGAATTCATACGAATTCACACTAGGTGTGGGGAGGTGACAGCAGCTGGTGGAGCCCTCACCAAAGGCTCACACCAGGCTTGGCAGATACCAGATACCAGGAGCTCGTGCTGGCTAGGGGAACTCACACCAAGTGCAGGGATCTCACCCCAGGTGTGAGTAATTCACCCCAGGTGTGTGGAGCTAGCCCCAGGTGTGGGGAGCTAACACCAGGTGTGGGGAGCTAGCACCTGGGTCACACTGGGTACAGAGGGTCACACCAGGTGCAAAGAGTCACATTGGGTACAGAGGGTCACACTGAATACAGAGAGTCACACTAGGTACAGAGGGTCACACTGGGTACAGAGGGTCACACTGAATACAGAGAGTCACACTAGGTACAGAGGGTCACACCGGCTACAGAGAGACACACTGGGTACAGAGGGTCACACCGGGTACAGAGGGTCAGGGTTCGGCCCAGGAGGCCCTTTTCCAAGGCACACTGTCCGTTTGGTGGTTGAGAAGGTCATTGAAGCTCTCATCCCAAGGATGCCATCAAGAGCAGCCTCAAGTAAAAGATCAGGACCCATGCTCTGCCTGTCCCAGCTCAAAATCTCGTCGACATTCCCCAAGCACCGCTCTGTCTTTGGAGCCCATAAGTGGCTCCTGTGGCTGGACCTGCTCATCGCTCTGCAGGCTCCGAACTGGATTGTGCATTGGTTGACCAAGGTCATGGCCTGCTCAACCCCCACACTTCCCTGCTGGGTCTAAGAAGCCCCTGTCACTGGGCATATTTGGGGCCATGCTTTCAGACAGACTTTGCTATGTCCTGGCCAGGCCACTCTTGCACACACTTGGGTCTCTCTGGGTGTTCAGGCATCTAAAAGGATTCTGCCACTCTGCCTATGCATGTCCACACCTGTGGGAGAGGGCCAGAGCAGTGAGCACACAAGCCCAAACAGCTCTCCTCCCCCTGGCTCTCCTCCCCCAGAACTCAGAAAGCTCCCTCCCGCCCTCAGAGCAGTCTGGGGTCACCTTGTCCTTCTCTGCAGACAGGGACACAGAGGCACAAGTGTGTGGGGTGAGACTGCAGGAACACGTGGCTTAATTCTGTTTGCATCACTGTCCCAAACACCCTGACAAAAATGGCTGAGGGAGAGAAATGGGTTCATTCAATTCATCTCAGCGGGGAGGTCCCGCTGGCAAGCGCCAGAAGCAGCTAGTCACACCACGTCCACGGTCCACGGTCCACGGTCCACAGCAGAGAGAGACGAAGGCATCCAAACCCGCGAGCTTGTCTCTCTGCTCTTCCACAGTTCAGGAACAGAGCACGGTGCCACCCGCAGTGGGTGGGTCCTCCCACATCAGTTAACTTAATTAAGACGATCCTTATAAACCAACACGCTGTAGACATCCCTACACACACAGACACACGCACACACACTCACACCCACATGTACTCACACATGTGCACACTCACATGCACATGCTTGCATGTACACACACACACACACACACACACACACACACACACACACACCCTTCCTGGTGGGACAGCCTTGTAAAGAGCAGACTTCCCTAAGCTTCCCCCTCATCTATAAAATGGGGCAAAGATCTGTGACTCAGCTGAAGATTCCTGAGATACACACAAATTAGTGTTGTTAATAAAAGAACATGCAATGTCCAACGCGTGATGTACGCTCAGTCACGTTCACAGCCATGGTCATCATGCAGGAAGACTCTAGAGGCAGCATCGGCGTCATCCACAGCGGCAGACAGGATGGAGGCTCAGGCCGGCACAGTGCTGAGAACCGGCTCCAGGCTGAAGCTGTAGGGACAGAAGGTAGATCTGAAGGAGAACCGGCAAGAACACGAAGCTTGGTTAAAGGGCTCACGTGTATAGAGGGATCTGTAAACAGCAGACATTCGAGAGATGGCAACTGGGGATATTTTCATCAGCTTTATTTCTCAGGCCCGTCAGCCTCGAGTCTCCGGAGAGAAGATACCATTTAATTTTCCCAGATCAAATATTTAACAAACACAACATTGGATAAACCCGGCCTCGCCTGCTCGGCACGCGCTCAGCATTTTCAGTTGCCGAGTCAAGCTCCAGAGATTCGCCACGTTGGCTGGAGCTTCTCAGTGCTGGAGATGGTGTGTCTGCGGCGGCGGCGGGGACTGAGCGCAGAGGGCTCTTTCTGGCCGAGAGCGCGGCGTCTGCAGCTCGGTTTCCTGGATTTGAGTCAGAGCTGCTGTGGGTTCGCCCCTGGGCCAGCTACTCGGTCTTCTGCGTCCCCGTTGGTAAAACGAATGGAACAGCAGCATTTCCCCATGGAGTTGTGGTGAAGACCGAACACAAGGGTGGGAGATGACTGTCCGTGTGAACATACTTAGCATTACCCTCCACATATCACCATGACCACCGCCATCACCACCATCATCACCACAGTCACCACCATCATCACCACAATCACCACCATCATCACCACAATCACCATCATCAACACCACAATCAACATCACTATCATCATCACCATTGCACAATCATGATCACCACCATCGTCACCATCATAACCATGACCATCACTACCACACCATCACCACAATCACCATCACCACCATTGGCATCATCACCACAATCACCATCATCAACACCACCATTATTATCACTACCGTCATCACCATCATAACCGTGACCATCACCAGCACATCATCATCATCACAATCACCCTCACTACCATCACTATTCTAATCACTATTGACTTGTCACCATCATCATCACTATTATCACCATGATTGCCCTCATCACCATCACAACTTTCACCACCGCCACCATCCTTCATCACTGTTACCATGAGCGACGTCATCACCATCATCACTTTCCCCCATTACCATCACTATTGGTATCGTCATTGGATTATACAGACCTTGAAGGTCTGTCCACACCAGTGAGGTCAGAAGGACTAGGAGACAGGTCCCCGTTCTCGGTCACTACAGAGGGGACACTGGACACCCACGGCTCCCCTGGACACTACTAACCCACGGCTCCCCTGGACACTAACCCACGGCTCCCCTGGACACTAACCCACGGCTCCCCTGGACACTAACCCACGGCTCCCCTGGACACTACTAACCCACGGCTCCCCTGGACACTAACCCACGGCTCCCCCACCTTCTGTGTCTAAGTTTTAAATACTGAATTAGCATTTGCTAAACCGAGAAACCAACGCATAAGCTCCCGAGAGTTCCAGGTCCTGGGTGTCCCCATGTCTGACTGCGTATTTGGGTGGAGCTTCATTGTCTTCACGGCCTTCAGCTGGAGCCTAGTGGACCTGGGCTCTCGCCTTGGGCACCGGAAACCAGCAGGGACGCACCGCCCACGTCCTCCGGTGCACCCAAATCCGCCTCTTTTCCCAGCAGCATCCTTTGTTAACCGGCTTCCTTATTGAGACGTGCAAGGGAACCAGCACCTGTTTAAAATCATGTTTCTCATTTTAATGTCTAACACAGTCATTTCCACAGAGAGGGCCTGCGTACGACGCTCTTCGCAACCTCCAGTCAACTGTGCGTGTGTATGTGTGTGTGTGTGCACGTGCCTGAGAGTGAGTGTGTGTGAACTCATGCTGTGTGTGTGCATGTGTCTGTGTGTGTGTGAGCCTGTGTATGCACATTTGTGTGCAGACAGGGCTTCTGGGAGTGGGACTCAGGGACTCCTCCATGCTAGGCAAGCATCCACCACTGATACCCACCCCCACACCCTGCCGGCCTCCCTCAGTCCTTAGGAGTTGTGCAAACAGCCCTAGGAGCCCACTGTGAGGAGGGAAGAGAGGTTGGGCCTGCCAGGCTGTGAGCACCTTGGCTGCTTGTAGGGAGCTGGGATCTGCCCCAGGCTCAGGCTGCACTGAGGATCTGGACTTGATCTGGCTTCCATGATTCAGCAGACATCCCAAAAGGCAAGGAGGGGATCTGACAGCCCCCTCTGCTAGCTCTTGGGACTCTGCCAGCCAACGCCCTTCAGGAGCCCCAGGCTGCAGCCCTTCTCCAGCTGTTCATCTCCTGCTCAGGGCCGCTCTGTTTGTTCCAGGGTGTGGCTTTGTGTCTCTGAACGTGAATCCAAGGAGCACCACACTGCTAACTGAGGAAGCCTTTAGCTCCGAGTGAGGGTGCACATCCAGCTGAGCTCTCAGACCAAGGACGCTGCTTGTCTGTCCTAGGGACATGAGCAGGAGGGAAATGCATTAAGTGTGATCTAGGAGTGATGCAGTTACCCTGGTTCTCATGTGCTAAGATTAGCATCAGGCTGGGCTCGGGAGGATGCCTGCTCTCCCAGCATGCTGGAGGCCGAGCAGGAGGAGTGTTAGTTCCAGGCAGCCTAGGCTAAGAATCAAGACCTTGTCTAAAGAAAGGAAGTGTGTGTGTGTGTGTGTGTGTGTGTGTGTGTGTGTGTGTGTGTGTGTGTGTTAAGTTCCTGCAGAGTTCACACTCGTGGTGTGACATTAGGTGAGTGTTGGAACCTCTCTGGTCCTTCATGTCTGTGCCTGTACAGTAGTTACGCTCCTCAGACTGACTGTTGGAGGACCATAGTGAGAATCCTTCCCAGAATGCTCAGCACCTTCTGGTCAGGTCAATGCCAACCCTGAAGATGGATGGTCACCAGGGTTTTGGCAACCCTCCCCCTGACCACGTGGCAAACACAGGATGGACTGAAGGCTCAGAGAGGTAAAGCCAGTATGCAGGGTCACACAGCCTGAAGTAGAAAAGCTGGGATTTGAACCTAGTTCTGCTAATTCCAGAGCCCCATGGGCAGTGATGCTCTACATAGGTGGGCACGCTGAATCAAGGTGCCCGGAACATCTCTCTGCTCCACTCTGAGATTCCATTTCCCGCCTTTCACCTTGAGGCAGGTTGCTACTATGTATTAAATAGGAAGCCCAAGGAACAAAGCCAGGCTTGTGTAATCATTCCGTCTCGGCTTCCTGCTGGGTCTCTCACTTCGCATTGGGAGGAGGGCGTTTGCCGACAGGATTCAAAATGAGTCAAAGACACTTCAAATCATAATCCACCAAGGATATCAATTGTGGACAAGGGTTTGAGGGAGAAAATGAGTCTGATTTGCATTGAGCAGCAAAGTGGTGATGTCACAAGGAGCAGGTGTGGGGCGGGGAGGCGGGGAGGCTCGGGAGGGACAATGAGGGGAATGGCTCTGAAATTGAGCTGTTGAATCAGGGAATCAGGAAAATGGCCCAATTACAGCATCAAATGGAGGGGAGAAAGAGATGGAAATTTACCTGGGGAATGAGGAAGGTGTCTTCCATCCAGAATGCTTGGAGAAAGAGCGACTGTTACTCCACCCCCGCATCATCTGGGGGAAGAGGTGCTGTTGGGAAGAAGGGAGGGAGGGGAACTGATAGGAGAGAGATGGAAACAGAGCCGGCAGACACCCAGTGGTGTACTCAGCCTCCTTGAGTGTCCCAAGCTAGCAGAGGTCCCCTGGGGATCGCAGCTGCCACATGCACCCCAAGGCCTCTTGTCTTGTCTTCTAGGCAGGGGAGCCCAGGAGCCATCACCCACATGGAGGTTCCTAAGGTGTGTCCCCTGTCTATGTGTAGCACAAATCTTAGAAGTTCTTATTAATAAAATCAAATCCCGGGCCAGGTATTGGGGTGAATGCTGAAAGATCAGAGAAGCAGAACAAGCCACAGCTTCCTCACCTTGCCAATTCCTCAGCTGATCCTGTTTTCTCAGACTGGAAGCCTCTGAGTCCTCATCCAAATGGATCTCAGCTGAACTGCTTCTCGAAAACCTGAAAGCTTAAACCGTCTAGTTCCTGGTCCTCACGCCTTATATACCTTTCTGCTTTCTGCCATCACTTCCTGGAATCACCTTGCCTGGCTGTTTCCAGTATAGCTTTAAACTCACAGAGATCCAGACGAATTCCTGCCTCCCAAGTGATAGGATTAAAGGCCTGAGTGCCACCATTTTCTGGCCTCTATATCTAGTGGCTGTTCTGTTCTCTAACCCCAGATAAGTTCATTAGGGTGCACAATATTTTGGGATACACAATATCACCACATCTATGAGTGACTCCCACCTGGCCCTGCAGGGCAGGCCAGGGAAAGGTCAGGTCTGAGGTGCTCCGATGGAACTTGCTGTGTGGCTGCGACCAGGGCACCTGCCCACGCCAAGGCTCGGGGTTGCACCTGTGAAGTGAGCAGGGCTATGCCTGTGGTTGCTCCCTGCTCACCCCAAAGCCTAGTGTGAGGCTCATATGTGACTGACTCTGAGCAGCCAGTGTGTTCAGAGACAAGATGTCTCTCCCCTCATGACCCTACCCGGCTTGACATCTATACTCTGGCTTTCTCCTTACCCATAAGTCCTCAGTCTATCACAAGTGGAATCACCGTGTTCCCAGACTGAGGGAGAAGAGCAGAGAAATCATGACTTACTCCATTCCAGAGGAAAAACCCTTCCGGTGGGCCATGGAACCCAACAGGGACAGGTGTGATGATGACCATGATGGCGGTCCATGGGCAACATGAGGGACCAACTGCCCTTCTGATCAACAGGCATGGTGGATGGTCCTGCCTTGCAAAGAACTGATGAATGGGGAAATTACTCCTGGGAGAAATTTGATAACAAACAAACAAACAAACCATTTGCACTGACCTGGTGTGTGTGTGTGTGTGTGTGTGTGTGTGTGTGTGTGTGTGTGTGTGTGAGAGAGAGAGAGAGAGAGAGAGAGAGAGAGAGAGAGAGAGAGAGAGAGAGAGGGTGAATCCAGATCTGAGCTCATGCCACACGAACACTCCCCAGTGAGCCCTGTAGGGCCTCCTCGGATGCCTTCAGCCAAGCCTGGGAAGGTCGCCAGCAGAAAGAAACACTGTCTGTTACATAGTGCCCATCACATGGCTTCGACTCTGAGGCACACTGGGGGATCGGGTGGCCCTCCCCAGGTCTGCAGGTGGGGAAGCCAGCCGTGATACGGCAATGGCTGCTCAGTCAAGGGTCTGGTGACAGGGAGTGGTGCTGGGGCTCGCCTTCCTTGTGGCCTGGAAATTTCAGGAATAAAAACCTTCTAGATCAGTGGTTCCTCAACCTTCCTAAAGCTGTGACCCTTGAATACAGTTCCTCGTGTGGTGGTGACCTCTGACCACAAAATTATTTTCATTTCTACTTTATAACTGTAATTTTGCTACTGTTATGGATTGTAATGTAAATATCTGATACGAAAACCCCTGTAAAAGGGTAATTCATCCCCAAGGGGGTCGAGACCCACAGGTTGAGAAACACTGTTTGAAACGAAGTGGCTGGTTGCGGTTGTCTGGCGTCCGGGAGATCCTCGCCCTGGAGGGACTTGGCAAGGCTCTGTGGACATTTAAACAGTGGAGGATTAGCCAAAATAATGGGGACAATCGCTGTCCTGGACTCTCACTGAAGGGTCTCTGAGTGGTTCTGTGACTCCTTCCTGGAGCACTGTTTGTGGCTGGCTGAGCCTAGGTCCCAGCATTCCAGGAGTTTGTGCCTTATGGTCGTGTCCTGGATCATTTTATGTCAACTTGACACGAGCTAGAGTCATCTGAGAAGAGGGAACCTCTCTTGAGAAAATGCCTCCATAAGCATTTTTATTAATTTTTTTTCATTTGTTTTACATACTGACCACAGTTTCCCCTCCTCTCCTCCCATTCCTCTCCCTCCCTTCTACCCTCCCCCATCCACTCCTCCTCTGTCTCCACTGTCTCTGTTGTCTGCCTCCCATGGGGATCAACAGAGCATGGCACATCAAGTTGAGACAGGACCAAGCCCTCCCCACCCCATGTCCTCCCCCCAACCCCCCTCCGTGCACCAAGGCTGGGTGAGGCAACCCAGCTTGGGGAATGGGTTCCCAAAAGCCAGCTCAAGCACCAGGGACAGGTCCTGATCCCACTGCTAGGAGCCCCACAAACGGACCAAGCTGCACAACTGTCACACACATGCAGAGGGCCTAGGTCAGTCCCATGCAGGCTCCCTAGCTGTCGGTCCAGAGTTGGTAAGCTCCCACCAGCTCAGGTCAGCTGTCTCCGTGGGTTACACTGTCGTGACCTTGACCTCCTTGGCTCTTACAATCCTTCCTCTTTCTCTCTACAACAGGATTCCTGGAGCTTGGCCCAGTGCTTAGCTGTGGATCTCTGCATTTTCCTAATTAGTAATTGATGGGGGAGGGCCCAGCCCATGGTGGGTGGGGCCATCCCTGGGCTGGTGGTCCTGGGTTCTATAAGACAGCAGATGAGTATGTCCATGAGTAGCAAGCCAGTAAGCAGCTCCCCTCCATGGCCTCTGCATCAGCTCCTGCCTCCAGGTTCCTGCCCTGCTTGAGTTCCTGTCCTGACTTCCTTTGATGATGAACAGTGAGATGGAAGTGTAAGCCAAATAAACCCTTTCCTCCCCAGGTTGTTTTGGTCATGGTGCTTTGTAACAGCGATAGTAACCCTAATGAGGACAGGCATCAAAGGTGACACTTAGACATTAAAATGTCAGGGGAAATGCCACCCACCAGCCCCCGGCACCATATAGCCCTGGGTACTGTGTGGCTTCTCACTATCCCTCCTGCACCACCGAATCAGCTTTAACTGTCAAGTTCACACAAGTTAGAATCACTTGGAAAGCAAGTCTCAATGAGGAGTCGTCTGCTTCAGGCTGGACGGTGGACGTGTCTGGGGAGGACCGGCTCAATTCATCAGTGGATGTGGGAAGACCCAGCCCACTGTGGGCATCACCATTCCCTAGGCAGGGATCCTGAATGGTGTAAGAGGAGCCAGGCTGAGCCCAAGCAAGTGGGCACGCGTGCATTCATTGGTCTCAGCTCTGGACTGTGGATGTGACGTGACCTGCTCCAGGTTCCTGCCTTGACCTCCCCTCAGTGACAGGTGGTCAGCAACCTGGAATTGGGAGCCCAATAAACTACTTCTTCTTTAAACTGCTTTTGGTCAGGGTGTTTATCACAGCAAGAGACACCTGCCTTTTCTAGAAGCACCTTTTGTGTGAGGACAGGGGCTCACCCACCCACAGCTCCCACTGTCTTGAGCTCAGCTCCCAGCTGGCTTTAATTAAAATCAAGTGACCTCCAGAGACAGAAAGGGAGAGCCTGAGTGGACACGAGACACCGAGGAGCCTCAGGGCTGCCAGGAACCTGACTGAAAAGCATTGCAACTAAAACATATTGACACCGCCAGACCAGAATCAGTCTCGGGGCGCCACGCGGCTTACAGGCTGCTTGTGACCTTTGACCTGGCTTAATTTTCACACTCCACACAGAGAAACGCTGCCTATCCACAGACAAGGCATTGACAAAGTGGCTGAAGCCACAGCGGGTCAAAAGCCACGTGTCGGGGGTTGGAGACCCAGCTCAGTGGGGGAAGGACTCGGCAAGCATGCCTGAGGACGTGGGTGTGGACCCCAGCAGACGCGTCAAAAGCCAGGTACGGTGGCATGCTGATTACTCCAGCCTGAGGGGCGGGTTATAGATGGGTCCCCGGGGCTCCCTGCCCCACCCCACCCCCCTGAGCCTAGCTGAAATGGTGGGCTCTATGCTCAGCAAAAGATCCTGTCTCAGTAAGCATTAGAGATCAGTAGTGGGGACAACAGAGGCTGACATCTGGCCTCTGCAGCTGTGCACACAAAACACCCCCCCCCACACACACAGACAGATACACACATGTACACATATACTATACACACAGCATACACACGTACATATGCACACAGACACACACACACATCACACACTCATGTGTACACACACACACACACACGGGTACACACACACTCGGGTACATACACACTCATGTGTTCACACACACACAGATACACACACACAGCATACATATGCAGGTGTGCACGCGCAGAGTCCAGGGTCTTTTCTGTTCTGGGGTCTAACCTGTGCTGTTGTGTTGACACTGACAAAACCCTTGGGAAGACCCTCTGTTGGTGATTGCAGGTAGAGGTACCGGTTGCCCTGTACCAGGTGCTGGTGCTCACCTCCGCTCTATGCATTTATTTTTCACAGAGTAAGGGGCACCATCATTCACAGGAAGTCACTTCCTGTTTTTGTTTGTTTGTTTCCAAACAGACTGAGTCTAAACTCTGAGGCGGGAGATTTTTTTAAATTACATTTTAATTTGTGTGCAGGACAGGGGTGTGGGACGTGCAGATCACCTATGGAGGTCGAAGGACAGCTTGTAGGAGTTGGTTCTCTCCTTCCACTGCATGAGTCCCGGCTCAAACTCGGGTCTTCAGGCTTGGGGACCAAAGCCTTTTCCCACTGAGCTATCCCATGGTCCTTACCTGTTTTGGGGGTGAGGGGACCCTGGATCCGCAGGATGCCTCACTGT